CCCCCCCCCCCAAGCCCAAACCTCAGGCCTCCAGCAATCCAAACACTGAGGTGCATGTAACGGCTACCCCAGCTACAGCCAAGGCCCTCAGGGAGCACACAGAGAAGATGGTTTACCCCTGGGAAGAGGGGACGTCAGGGAATAATGGCCCGCATCAAAGGAGCAAATGGAAGATTTATCTCTCTCTGTAATCTATATTGTCTTTCCCTTTTTGTCTGTGAGCTGGGTGAAGCTAGAAAAGGTCACGGGGGCTTGCCTCGATTTGGGTGTTTTCTTTTACAATAACGGAAATCCACTGTGACAGATGTGTCACAACTGTCCAATAACACCCTGTGATCCATGACCAGGGAAAACGATCATGTAACGCTGGAAGGAAAGCAGGGGGTGAAAAGGAAAGGTGCGTCTCAGTATGTCTGGATTTTGTACAAAACAAAGCATTTAAAAGACATCACTATAGAGCTATGAGAAATTAAAATCTGATTTTTTTCCCCCAGAATTTTCTGACATTTTATAGCCAAAATGATTATTCAAGAAAATAATCAGCAGATTAACAAATGAAAAACAACTTCTCAGAACCCAAGTTCACATCTTCAAAGCCCTTATTGACAACAAGACGAAAACTACAAAGTGTACCATGACATTTGAGAAGCTGGGACCAGCTTGTTTAGGTCATTTTGCTTGAAAAATGACTGAAATCAATCAATCAAGCTTTAAGTAAAATTTGAAACAGTTTCTTGGACGATATGCTGACTAAATCAACACATTTCGGTCTAATGCTGCTTTGCTGCCATGTAAATACAGTAATCTCAAAACCTTCTGGCTCCTCAGAATCTTATTTCATGGATTTCCTTGTTAAACATTTAGAGATCACCTGGAAATGACCTCATTAAACTTAGTAATAAATTATAAACGGATGAATCAGACACAAGGCAAACTCATTACTGCTTGACTGAAGTGTCTGTAAGAGGCAAGAATGATCACATCTGTAATGTAATTAGAGGGATTACACCGTGACACCACTCAATCTTCCCTGATAGTTTAACACCTACAGTACACTTCCCTGCCCTTTGGCTACTGTTTAAACAATCAGCAGGTGACTGATCTGGCACATTCCACTGCTATTTTTAATGCAACTGCTTTTTCAAATGCACCAGGATGCAAAGTCTCGCCAAGCCTTTCCTCTAACATCAGCGTGTTTGCTTTGCTGCTACCAGTAAACACGTTGAATTCTTTCTCTCCCAGGTCTCTGCGGTGCGGGACAGACACCCTCCTCCAGATTCCTAACATGCTCTGGTTACACTCTCACAATTAGAATTTAACGCTTCCGGCTCCCTGAAACCTGCCAGAGCCTCATTATATGCAGACTCACGATCCAGGGGTGACGTATATAGAAATGATTTACAGTGTGTTTTTAAGTAGTTTTAAATATTAATTTTTGCTTCCTGTGTCAGAGAATGTACACAGAATACATATGGACACAAATTAAATCAAACTTGCTCCTGAAACTCTGTTGAAACTAAAAGCTGAAACAATTAGTCAAATAATGGAAATATTCTTCAACTATTTTGTTAAAGCAACATTGTCTTTTGGTATAAATCGATGAAACAAGCAACAGATTCAGTGATAATTAAAATAATCATCAGTTACAGCTGTGCTGAATAAGCCAATCAGGAAACAGAACAATTTCCCTGTTTAAGTCATATCTGTGGGAGCACCTGTGCAAACATACACTTACATAAACACAATCTGGACTCACCACACCAGGCTGAGGCGCACACCCTACAGAAGTGGCAGGACCCGCCTTCGCCACATCTGGTAAAACAGCATCAGACATGGCGCTCCTTTACCACGTTCACGCCGTCTTTGCTGGTTCTCTCTTACAACCACAGGGTTCAGAGCTGCCCGTGTCTGGTGCCAGGCAGCCAAACAGTTTCTCCACTTCCTTCTCCTTGACCAGCCCAAACCGAGATAGCACCTTTTATCTAAATTAACTTTTTCCTGACCTTCTAGGGAGTCTGTTTTCCACAGTAAAAACTCCTTTAGTCTGGCTGCAAAAGGGGGAAGATAATCACAGTTCCTTATTCTGCGGACCTTGACTTGTGGGAGGGTGTACACGCCGTTGTCTTGATTCATTTTTAACTTTGTGAGCTCAGGTCTGATGTTCACTTTGAAATAGCGGAAGGAGCTGCTCCTCAGGTGTAGCACAGCTCGTCACCGCTGTAATGTTTAGCAAAACAATCCCCACTTTCTCAGGATGTAAAAATACTCCAGGTTGTGCAGCTGTGTGATTCACTCAGCTCCTCTGTCTTCACTGATAAGATGCTGCACGATGCGTCAGTGGTTTGATTGAGCATTTCCTTAGAATCCAACGCTGAAGATAAAAAAATATTTCACTAGAAAACACAAGAGCTGATTGCACTTCAAGTCGGCTGTGTATTGTATCCGAGTTAAAACTACTTTCATGTTGCTGAATAAACTGGACCTGGTTTAAACAATTGTGAAGTTTTCACAGGCCTGCAACTAATGATTATTTTTGTAATGGATTTATCAGCCTTTGGTGTATTGTACTATTACAGTACTATTTGTACTATTACAGTAAGAAATGCCTGTCACAGTTTAGTAAAGCTCAAGGTGAAGTCTAAAACTCAAAGATATCCAGTTTACTATGACACAAAACGGAGAAAACCAGAAGGTGTGGAGGGGTGAATCTAATGCTTCTGCAAAAAGTGACTCAAAGAAAAACACAATTATGTTGCTGAATAAACTGGACCTGGTTTAAACAATTGTGAAGTTATTCTGCTGATTATTAGCTCAATAAAAAGAAAATAGTGAAAGATGCCAGGTTCTCAGAGCTCAAGATGACATCTGCAAATGTTTACTGTTATCAAAAACCAAGAAAATCAGCCATTACTTACATTTGGGACCAGAAGACAATGTTGGAACCAGTATATTTTTGCCATTTTTACTTTAATCAAATGATTAACAAAACAGCTGCATAATTCTTTATTCAACTGTTAGTTCCTTATTTCTGCCATTAGCTACCACCCAGCTTCTTCATGTGTTGAATGCTTTTCCACCAAATTAACAAACATGCATGCTTGTAATGTAAAACTAGCATCTTCCTGGCACTTTCTAAGCTTTCCTCCCTCTGTCCTAGATCTACAGTATAATTAAGTCACTTTCACTCCCCTTGTTTACGTATCCCTTCCATTCTGCTCCACACTGATTCGGCTCATTTGTCTCAGATCAATGATTCAGATGCTGATTAACCAGCCCCGCTTCTGTTTCTCTGGGCCAGATTAAAACTTTTCTTATCAGAGCTTGTATTTGTACAGTGAGCATTTGTCATGGCCTCGCTCCGAGCCTATAAACAGCCTCAGAGTCAGGCCTTTCTCTCGAATAGATTAGACTGCATCGACTGATACCTGAGTGGTTTGAAAACAAGCACAGAGCAACAGTGTGTGGATTGGGTGACAGCCTGTCTTTGGATCACAACAGGTGTTTGTTTCGCTGAGGCTCAGTTACTTGTCACAGCTTGGGGGGCAGGAGGGGGTCCTTTGCACCAAGTTCTATAGGTCGACCTCTGCTCATGTGATGCAGCCAGAGTAACATTACATTTACACACCCAAACTAAAACCACTGCCTGGTCTCCCTGTGCAGGACTCACAGTGTTGAGCTCCTCCCTGAGTCGCTGCAGGTGCTCGCTGTGGTCCAGCTCGGCTCGACTCTTGTCCCTCTCGGCCTTACCGAGTGCACAGGTAAGCCGCTCCACCTCGGTGCTTAGCTCCCTCACATCCTTCTCCAGGTCCCCCACCTGGCTCTCCCACTGAGACTGGCAGCGCTCCAGCTTCAGCTGCAGCTCGTGCCTGCCCTGCTCCAGCTCCTAAATGAGGGTGGAAGAGATTAATGTCAATATGTACAGTTTTCTCAACATGTTTATATTGTCTGTTGGTTTGAAACTATAATGCTAACAAATTATCCTCGTTGGCAACTGGGGATTATAACAGTAACCTATTGTGTTGGACTCAAGAGTGACCAAATGCACACGCGAGCCTCATTTAGTCCTGAAAAGGATCATGGGAAATGTGTGACAGTTGTAATCTTAATGAATATAAACAAAGCAGCTGAAATTCCAGAGTTTACAATATATAATTCATCATACCAGAGAGAAATAATGTTTATATTTCATTAGAGCTGAATTAGTCAATCAACTGGCAACTGAAAATTAATCTACTACTTTGAATCAAGTTAAACTGCTAAATGTTCACTGGTACAGTCTGCTCAGATTTTTTTCATGTAATAGTAAAAACATATCCGAGTTTCTGCACTACTCTTCTTGTATTAGAAGTAAAGGTTCTGGGCTGAGCTCTCATTAGGATTTTACTCCAAGGCAGCAAGTCGCTAGTGTCTGTCACAACTTGTGAAGATAGTTTGCCTGTGAATAAGAGAGTCTCCTAAGCTTGAACACAGACGATCCTACCAGTGAGTATTTAGTACCAGGGCAAAGATGCATAAACCTGATCAGACCTGGGAAAGTTCAGTAAAGCAACAGTTTGACATCTTTGCCTGTTTACACCATAGTATGTGAATGGCAGCTGCTTTAGTCATGATTCAACTTCTACACATTTACAGCAGACTGACTATGGATATCTCATATACTATACTGACTGAAAAACACACTTGTTAGGTATTTTGCAATATGATGTACCAATGGTTCACACTGTTTCTCACCACATTAGTGTATTTATCCCATTACTTTTTTATAACTGTAAGTCATACACTGCTCTATCAAAGTTTATTAAAATAAAGTTACTTGGGCATTTAACAACGAATTAACCACCAACTGGGTGTAATTAGGAAAAATGGCACGTTGTGAACCAAATGTATGGACTATATTATCTCCAAACAATAACAGCAGCGACGTCGCCAAAATTCTTTAACCACATTTTTCACTGAATAGCTTCTTTTACAGTCCTACAACATTTCTCTGCGCTCTACCATTGTTTCACCTTAAGAGGAAAGCTGACATGTCTTACCTCCAGCTTGTCTGCGTATTGTTCATGAAGTTTGTCGCTCTGCTCTTTTAACTGACGGTTTTCCAGGAGCAACGCGTTTCCCAGCTGGGCCGCCAAAATAACCTCTTCCTCCTTTTGTTTCAAAGCAGCCAGCAGTTCACCGGGGTCTTGGTAATCTGTTATTTCCTCCGCTCCGTAGTCGAAATAAAAATCCTCCTTCATGTCCATGCTCTTGGACGTAAAGCTCCATTCATCCAGTCGCTCCATAACCGGGAAATAAGTCAAACACACCCCCCCTGAATAAACGGTGCTTTAAACGCTCATGTAGTGCCACGCGTGCCAGTGTGTTGCACAGCCATACCTGGCTGTTGGTGCTGAATGTTTGAGCTGTACAATGAAGGCAGTCTGCGCGCTCCGTCACCGGCTGAATGCGGTCACCTGAGCTCCTGTTTCCACCCCACCGTCTCCACCCAGACTCACACCTGTCCCGCCTCAGGGCCTGAGTGAAACCGTGTCAGACATGCAGGAAAATTACCTACAGAAACACCTGTTAGGCAACACGCACCGTTCATAAAACGTCCAGTTGTTTATGCAGTGGTGATTGACGCACCCAGATTGTTTACTCAATATCACAAAATACACATTCAAAATGTTACTTAAGTAAAAGTACAAAGGTATTAGTATCAAAACATACTTAAAGTATTAAAGTACTCAGTATTTAACATTAAAATGTATAGCCCATTGTTGGATTATGATTACTGATGCATTATTGTGTACATCACATTTAATGTTGCAGCTGCTAAAGGGGGAGCTAGTTTTGACTAATGTATATGCTTATAATATTAATTACTACTGATGAGTTTGTGGATTTTCTACCAGAAAGTCTTATGATTATACTGTATTTTATTATTCTGATTCTGAAAAGTAAAGCTATAAAATAAACATAGTGGAGTAAAAGTATGAAGTAGCACAAAATACTCAAGTACAGATGGCTCAAATTGTACTTAGGTACAGTACTTGAGTAAATGGTCTTAGTTACTTTCCACTACTGTGTTTGGGTCTGATTTCCATAGAGCATCAAATTACAGCTTAAACTAGTGCAGTGTTGAATCAAAACCTCACTGATGTAGTAAGTCAACACATAAATATTCAAGCTTTGGAAACGATACTTATCATAGGACTGCTGTGTTGTCAGACTGCATCTAATGCTGGGGTCACTTCATAGCGGAATGGATTCATTTAAAAAAAATGTTAATATGTCCACTCCCATTTCAACAAATCTTAATATGTATCATGAATGTACCCTACAGTATTGTCTTTGTCTTCATATTCACACTGAAAATGTATTTTTTTAGAGATTGATCACATCCATTTTGTGATTACAAGACTGAATCAGATTAGATTTAACTTGTCTTTTTGACACTGAGCAACAAAAAAAGATCCTTTAATATGGAAGCCATTTCACTGGCTGTCTCTTTCACTCTCTCTCTCTCTTTTCATTGCATGACATCACTGTGTTACTCATTCTTCATCCAATAATGGTTCAACAAGTTCACTGTGCATGATTACGTCTTCCAAGCAGAGGGGGCGTGTCTGCCTGCTTTGTCTGGCTGTTTGCCAGGGGTCAAAGTTCGGCCCCCACAAGGTTTTATGGTGCAGGGGCAGTGTCAGGAGAATAAAGGATGGAGCATCCTGACGCATAGTGAAGCTTTTGTTGTCAGAGACGCCACAGCTTCTGTACATATGGCCAGAAAACATAGACGCACTGTACATCAAGGTTCAGTTCACCTCACGGCCATTGTCTCCATTGTTCCTGCTCAGTTTACAGGCTGCTGATGGACGGGCTTGTGCTAAGTGTGACGAGGTGTGTCAGGAGGGGAGACCTTTTAGAGTCAGTCACAACAACACACCTTGGTCTGGGGACATGTACATACAGTCAGACATCAGAGGAAGAGACAGTCTAATAAGAAAAAGCAAGTTTATTTCAAAAATATTTTAAAGTGATGGCAATTATAGCATGTGTATAAAGCATTTTTAAAACGTTTATTTTACTTTCACTCGTGTATTTATCTCATTTATTTCATAGATACACTGCTGGTTGAAACATTTTCTGTGCAAAGCTCTGACAGACGTCATGTCAGTACACACTCCGTCCTGCAGGTGGCGATACGTCAGTAAACACCTCACAAAGAGGAAGTACAAGTTAAAGTCGCACTGAACGTGTTGAGTGGGGCTGATTTAGCGGATATAACAATGGACAGGAGCCCAGAGACTATTTTAGCTATTAAAGCTTTAGGGTAAGTAACATTTAACCGTTTTATTTTTCTGCTGCGCAGTTATCAAACCTTAGCGTATTTTCATGTTATCATACTAATATGCTGACCCTTCCGGTGTCGACATGCACTCCAGGTAACCTCACCTGTCGTCCTTCCCTGTTCAGGTACCCGGGCGGTTCCTGCCTCAAGCGGTGTAAATGTGATGAACTTCCCTGTCTGCTGCTCACCTGGCTGGCCGCAGAACTGAGGCCTCTGTGTCCAGAGCTCCGAGGTGAGACAGCAGCCTAGGTGCTGTTACACACCTGTCAGACAGGCTGTTTGATGCAGTGCCCTCTCGTCCTGCCAAAACAATTTCCTAACTGTGCACAGAATAAGTAACAGATGTGGTGATGGTGGTTTTAGTCACGTTGGCTCTGTTTTCTTAAACTATTACAACTCTGTGCACATTTAAAAGCAGAAGGAGCTTTTTTTCTGTGGCTTATGATTGGTTGCGTGTGTGTGTGAGTCACGGGGGAGTCTTCGTTGTCTTTGGGAAGTAGGTTTTTTTTTAAATTGTTTCTTAATGCTGAAATTATTTTTAAACATCTTTGACAGAAAAATTATCTGCAGCAACTGGGCCAGTTAATGAATAATGCCAGGCGTTTCTAAAGCAGAGCATTCTCTGTGGGGGCTCCTAAGTTAAGCCCCTTTACATTAGGCAGCCCCCCCCCTCGTTGTCCACTTTTAAAACTTATTTGAAGACTCATCTGTACCGTTTGGCGTTCGAACCAGTATGAGCCTCTGTCTTGTTGAGCTTTTTTTGTTTTTTTGTTTTATGATGGGTGGTTGTTTTAGTGTGATCCTGTTTTATTGTTGTGTTTATTGCTTAAGCTTGTTTTATTATGTTTTACGGGTTTTAGTGATATTGTGTTAAGCACTTTGGTCAGCTTCGGCTGTGTTAAACGTGCTATATAAATAAAGTTGATGATGATGATAAAGCAAAAACAGGATATTTTATGGTTTTCTTCTGTTGTAGTAAAGAGAGCATCTTTGGCTTCTGGGCTATTGGTTAGACAAAACCATTGTTGGGGGAATAGTGAACTACATGTAATTAAACTCTTAGTTTAACTGCAGAGATGCTTGAGCTAGTGCGTTCAGACTAAAGGAGGGTGTGCTCAAGATGTGCAAGAACACACAAAAATAATCAAGCAGAATGCTTGCAGAAAACAGGAGCATTGCTGACTTGGAATAAATTTTGCACAGCATACCATCATTTGTGCTCATATTTTGCTTGCTTATTTTTCTAGTGGTTTAACTACATTTTGCAGCAACTCGCTTGTAATTCAACATTATTCATAGTTGTGTATTGACTGAAGTAGTTAAATTAATTTTTTGCCATCTTTTGTGTAGTTAACTACTGCAGATCCAAATAATTTGGGCCATAAAAGGAAAGGAATGGTTATTTATTTTTGTCTCACCATTGCTTCTCTAACTCTAGCGGCCAAGAACTTTGAGAGACTCCTCATGTTTCATATAAACGAGATTTTGCTCTTAGAAGTAGTAGTAAGAGACGGGCTCATTTAGACCAGTGTTCGAGCTGTTCACACTGTCTAAAAGGTTTAAGTTCAAGACTGTTTTAGTTTTCAGCAAAGCTGACAAGTAACACAACAGGCTCATACTTTTTAGACCAGCTCTAAAGTCAAGTGTATAATTTATTTACAGGAAATGTATAATATCATTGTAAAAAAAATCCAGCTGGGATTGTTTGGTTTAGGACTTTTTTGTCTCTGGTAAATGAGTGAGTGGCCTTTTTTGCTTTCTTATGAGTTATCTTTTATTGTATTATAGTTTTGTATCACATGCACATTGTCAGTTTTATTGCTTTTTACAAAATAGTTTGAACTACTTTTTGTAAGTAACTTTTGTTTACCAAACTACACTTCTCTCTACAGTAGCTTTGCTCTAGTTTAACATCTTGTGAAGTAATTGATAGTTTGCAAATTTACATTTTCTAAATAGTTTCCCCAGCACTGGACAAAACAAGCAGTTTATACATGTCACCTTTGGTTAGTGGAAAGTGTGATTCCATTTTGCATTTAAATGCCCTCATAGTTTTCTAGAGCTCTGACATTTTCAAATTTTTAATAGTGTTTGACCAAAAATCCAAAACCCAATGATGATCAGTTCGTCTGTCATGTAACACTAAGAGAAGAAGTAAATTATCACATCTGGAAAAACTGGATCAATCACATGTTTAGAATTTTTACTTCAAAAATGACTAATACATTTATCAATTACCAAAGTAGTTTCTGAATAGTTTTCCATGAAATGACTTTTCTTTAATCGACTAATCTCTTTTATGTTCCTTGTTTAGACTCGGGCAGGACAGGTGACCTCTTGCTGGTGGGAGAGCTGAGAAATTTACTGTCCAACCTGCTCTCCCCTCTTGCTGTGCTGACCTCAGAGGTGCTGGAGTCATCCACCCTCAACAAAGTCACCGGTGAGAAATAACACCAGTTGGGCGTCTGCTGTTGTAGAGTTGAATGTTTAAAGTAAGACCAGGTGATTGTAGCGCCCATGGCTGTGCACATTTACTTCACATCATTTTTAAATGAAGGGTGAAATTTTCTTAAATAATAATTTCATCCTTCAGAGTTCCTCGTATCAGAACTGCAAGCAGCTTGCATAATCAAATATAAGGAATCGCATCCTGAGGAGAAGACGACAGGAGAGGAGTCTGAAAAAGAGCAGCGAGTGACAGATCACAGTCATGAACTTGCTGAGTTTGGTTGTGAATTTGGAAATGATGATATTATGGATAAAGACGGAAGGAAGGCGGAAATACAGGCTGAGTCCATATTACTGCTGCGTGCTCTTGACATGGACGCCTCCTCTCAGTTTACAGATGTGTTGAGTGAGGTAAGGCCGGTAAAAGAGACTAAGCTATGTACAAATCATAACTACAAATGGAGAAGCATGGAAAGGCTTTTGTTAATGTTATTTTAATGCAGGTGAAGGCGAGGCTTGCTCGTCTACCATGTGGAGATATGATGTCCCCTCTTCTTAACAGCAGCCTCAGCTCGGAGCAGTGGGTAGGTTTCCAGGGCTGTTACCAGTCTAATTATACATCATATGTGACTTTAACATCAGAACTCACACAGTTTGTGTTTTGTTTTCAGTTGGAAGTCAAAAAGATCAATGACCATCTGTCAAAGGACTATCAATGTCGGCGGCAAATGATGATCACACGCTTTCAAGTTACACTCGAGTCATTTGCGTGGGGTGAAAAACAAAAGGTAGGTACGTTTAATGGCTGCGTCTCTTAGAACGCACTTGCTTTCAGAACACTCATTCCGAAGTGGAAAATCTCATTTTTGGTTGGCTTCCGTGTCTTTTGTGCTCACTATGCAGGTACAGTATGCAGCGAGCAGAACATGGCCAAAAAAGGTTGAAGACAAAGAGTTTGTCTTTGAGGTTGTACAGCTCTGAAAACAGTACTGGACAATAAATTCAGTGATAGTGATCCAGAAAAAGATGAAACAAACAAGAGTTGCACCAAATGTGATATAGAAGAAATGAATACAGCAACAAGAAAACTACATTCCTATTTAGAAATTATTAGATACTTTATTGATTGCGAAGAAATTTCAAGGCATCCAGCAGCTTGGAGACAGTTGAAGCAAAAATCCAACATTATACAAAGGCACTTAAAATTAGGAACAAAAGTGAGGACAGTGAATTAAGGCACCAAAAGTCCTCCAAACTTGGATAGTGTGCAACAAACCAATTAAGGTATAAAGTATCTAGTACAAAGTGCCCGTTACATTACTATTACATTATATATGCCAGGAAGAAACTAACAATCACCAGTGGCAGAACAACATTAAGTCCCCACAGGAAACGTAGTGTAAATACTTATTTAGTAAACAGGGTCTGCAACTAATGATTAGTTTCATCTTCTCAATTTATCATTTGGTTTATAAAAAATAAGAAAACAAAGTTTTTCCATCATGACATCCTGGAGCACAAGTTGGTAACACTGAATGTCTTGTTTTGAGCAAAATCCAAAAATAAAATCACACCTTCTACTTCAATCGGTCCTTTATTTACAGGAGCGCAGTGAAGCACTGGCCTCAGTGCCTCCTCTTGCACCTCTGGCTGAGCCTTCCCGAGTGTCCCTGTCTCATTTGCTCACTGCCCGAGAAGATCAGTCCTTCGGTGAGCCAATCAAACCTGGAACAACCACCCCCGTGTACAAGGTATAACTTTATCCAGTTATAAACCATGTCTATAGCTCAAAGTGCAAATGGTTTGTAATTTTTCCTTTGCTTTCTCTAGACATTGATGGGCAGTGTACCGGACAGAGGAGGACGACCGGGGGAAATTGAGCCACCTATGCCAGCATGGGGGGATCGAAGAGCGAACAAATCAGGACGAGGAAGTGGACAACATCAACGGCATAAATTTTCAAATAAAAAGAAAAAAGGGAAACAAGAGTAACCTGTCTTACTCTTTGACCTTGATGCTTACTTCAAAAAAATAAGTGATCATTTTCCTTTATTTAAATCCTTATTATAAGATATTATGGCTGTTGAATGCTGCATATGATATTATGGGTATGAATTTGTGTATACTGTAAATCTTGGTTATAGTACATAGCTAAACCTGACTGTGTACATTTCTAAAATGGCTTATCATTGCTATAATGTACTGGTAGCCTATGTGACCAGATATTTTGTTTATGAAAGAATATAAGTGAAAAATAATAGGCCTACTTAATTTTTTTTTCTTTACAGGTTAGCTTTGTTGAGTAATTTGACCACACATTGAATACAGAGTCAAAAGAACAGCAAAACTTAATCAATTGATAAACTGAATTAATAAATTCTAAAGTGAAACCTTGGGGTTAAGGTCTCCAATTTTTTGTGTTTTGTTTTTTGTTTCACTGCAGTGTGCTTCCATATCCTCAATACAAACTGGTAACCGACTTGAGTGGGCAAATGCTCATATTCGATGGCGTCTGGCACTTTGGAGAGGTGTTCTCTTCACGGATGAATCCCGGTTTTCACTGTACAGGGCAGATGGCAGACAGCGTGTATAGTGTCATGTGGGTGGGCGGTTTGCTGATGTCAACATTGTGGATCGAGTGGCCCATGGTGGCGGTGGGGTTGTGGTATGGGCAGGCGTATGTTATGGACAATGAACACAGGTGCATTTTGTTGATGGCATTTTGAATGCACAGAGATACCGTGAGGGAAATAGTGGTCACACCAGATACTGACTGGTTTTCGGACCCCCCGATACAGTAAAACTGCACATTTTAGAGTGGCCTTTTATTGTGGCCTAAGGCACACCTGTGCAATGGTCATGCTGTCTAATCAGCATCTGGATATGCCACACCTGTGAGGTGGATGGATTATCTCGGCAAAGAAGTGCTCACTAACGCAGATTTGTGAAAAATATTTGAGAAATAGGCCTTTTGTGTACATAGAACAAGTCATAGACCTTTGGAGTTTAGCTCATGAAAAATGGGGGCAAACACAGAAGTGTTGCATTTATAATTTTGTCAGTGTAAATATGAGCCTCAGTTTTAGCAGTTTATTTTAAAAAAAGGGGATGTGAAGCTAAATTTGAGCTGCAGGGGCTGGATAAATATATAGATGTAATTTAGTGGGTTTTGTGGCTTCCACAAACATTTGCTAAAGGTTTTTATGCTGGCATTTTTTAAAAAGAAGACAATTTTAAACAGCTATGTCTTGTGGAATACAAAACAACCTGATAAAAAAAACAAACCCAGCCTCACCTTAGTGAGCGGATGATTGGTTACAAGCTCTCCAATTCTTGTGTATGGGGCTTTGAGGATTAGAGCATCAACAGCAGAACCTGATAAGGACAGTGAAGTACAGTAAATTTAACATTTTATCTCAAAGCGCAAGTGTTACTAATAACATTATTGATGGCTCTCTTATATTCATGTGCTCCAGTAAGCCACAAGACTGTGTCCCACTTCCATAGGCTACTACACACTAACTGTACAATGTCAGTACTAATCCTTATCAAAGTGTTTATTTGTCATATGCACAGTTAGGAAACATGTTTCCCTGTACAATGAAATTCTTACTTTGCCGTCCACATGAATGCCATATAATACAAGTGAAATATAAAGTAGATGAGCAATAACTAAATAGGTAGTAACACAAATAAGGCACTTTAAAGCAGCAGTGAAGGAGGCAAATAAAAACACAACAAGAACACAATATAATGCAGAGAGTGTGCAATTATGCATGTGCAAAATGAGTATGTAAACAGTACAGATGGAATTACATGAGGTAGATCCTAAGTGAGCTATTTAGGAGTATGATGGCATATCATGGTATCCTTATAGTATACTTTTTGCAGTTGATATAAAAGAAATGAAGCAATCAGATTTCAAATTCGCCTCACAGAGCCAGCTAGCTGGCCCACAATAATGTCAGCATTTTTCCGTCCTGTGATTGGTTGGCCAGAGCAAAACTGTTACAGCCAAGTTCCACTAGTAAAACACTAGTGATGGTCATACAAGGGCCCATGAAGCTTAGAACCCCCTTATGAAATATAAAGTAGATGAGCAATAACTAAATAGGTAGTAACACAAATAAGGCACTTTAAAGCAGCAGTGAAGGAGGCAAATAAAAACACAACAAGAACACAATATAATGCAGAGAGTGTGCAATTATGCATGTGCAAAATGAGTATGTAAACAGTACAGATGGAATTACATGAGGTAGATCCTAAGTGAGCTATTTAGGAGTATGATGGCATATCATGGTATCCTTATAGTATACTTTTTGCAGTTGATATAAAAGAAATGAAGCAATCAGATTTCAAATTCGCCTCACAGAGCCAGCTAGCTGGCCCACAATAATGTCAGCATTTTTCAGTCCTGTGATTGGTTGGCCAGAGCAAAACTGTTACAGCCAAGTTCCACTAGTAAAACACTAGTGATGGTCATACAAGGGCCCATGAAGCTTAGAACCCCCTTAGACCATTGTATCAAAAATTGGTTCACTACTCGAAGCTTCATTCATTGAGCATGTGGGTGACATCTGCTGGCGCAGTGGTTGTTGTACAGCCTTGCAATGGTGAGGCCATAAAGTTTGTTCCTCAGAAAACATTCGAACAATTTGTGGCTGACTTAAGAATTGTACTGAGGACTGTAACTAGTGGGTATAGGCTATCACTTCAGGGTGTCGGGTCAGAACATCAATTTTGCACAGGTGAGTTGAGGTAGAGATTGAATGTCCAAATCCAGGGATTAATTTATCTTCATTTTAATTCTTGCATGAATCAACAGTGAACATTTAAGGTATGCGTGTGGTTTTTCTATAATAGAAACAAACAATAAGTATCAGCGACATTATCAAGAAACAACTTAAAGTACAAGTGACTAAAGGTTTATATTAAACTTAAATCAGCTATTAATTGGTCACACAATGCACCAATAGTATAACCTCCCGTTAATAATTATGCAGGAATGACATACAACGTAACTTGGAAGTCTCACACCAACTACCACACGCGCATATTCGAGGCAAAACACAGACCTACAAGCTGTAGTAAAATAAATGCTAAGTAGCAGGCGATCTAAAGTGACACAACACGGTCTAAATTAACCACTATCATTAACCAAATTTTAGTGTCTTACAACACACATATCCGAGTATCAACACGATTAATACTACTCACATTAATAGACGCACACTGGTGATTATTTCACGATGTCCATGTCATGCAAACATGTATCCCATGGTGAATTTCTGCAGTGATATACAGAAGATAGCTCCAGATCTCTACCTACTGGCCAGAACGATAACTACATGCATAACTGAATTAAAGGGGAACTAAATTAAAGAGGCTAAATAGAAGTATTTTTTACATTTTACATGTGTCTGTTTTCCTTCCTTGTCTCATAAAGTATCTGAAATGAAATGTTGACTACCTAAGTAATCCTCCTTCCCCAAGAACTCTTAAGAATATGAAATGCATTTATAATTATTCATCCCAAATTACACACCGGACACAGCAAATATTTACAGGGTTCAATAAAGGCTGTGGATGTAATTAATGTTATGACAATATAATATAATAAAATACATTATGTGTTCTGATTATGCTTGGTGTACACTGGGTGTGCCTATGTGACTCAGGCATTTTTATTAAAAAATAATAGTGTCTCCACAGTGGGTGGTAACATATCTGATGCTCTTGTCACGCAGTCCAAATAATGTCTGTTTTATACATTTAACAAGTGAACTTGAGGCAGGAAGGAAAAGTGTGGAGAAAGTCGTACATCTAACTATTGGGCATGTTTAAATGACTGGCTCAGGTCCAAAATTGATTTCTTAGCACCCTTCACTTTAGAAAGCATCAAATTTGGTATATCTCTGAAAGAAAAAGATGTGGAATTCTTGGTGAATAACTTTTATCATTTTGGTAAAATAATATATTCATAAATGTAAATGGAGTAAAAGGAGACCTTGTTTAAGATGCGTCTCCAAAGTAATTGTGGTTTTATGAGTTACAAAATATGATTAGATTGTTTTTTTTTAATTTATTTATGATTTGTTGATAAACGGGATGCTCAATAAACAAAGTACTTATTACTGTGAAATGTAGAAGAATGCAAAGAAGACCTTTAGAACATAAAAACATGTTGACCATATTCTTAATGTATGTTGAAATAAAAAATTTCATAAATACTGTATCTAGATTGGCAACTCTAAATTACCCATAGGAGTGTGAGTGTGTTGGTGTTGCATAACTCATTTAACACGCTCCAAATCTGTACTGTAAAAAGCAGCCTACATTTCACCTTTGTTTAAAAAAATGTTAGTGTCATTAAACAAAAAATATGTAAGAATTTAAAGCAACAAACCTTTGACATTTTAAAAATAACGTTATTGTAATTTCAGTCAACACATGGGAACGCTTTTATGGCCCCGCAATTTAAAAATATTGCTATGCCACGTGTAATTTTTATGTTAACGTCTAGTACAATTTGGTTTAGAATAAAAGAAAAAAAATCAAGGGCCTCCGATCAAACGGTTCCGTAGTACAGATTTACAGTACCTACGCATAACCGGTGGAGCGCCAGCGTTTATCCGTCTTTCTGTCGCACCGGAAGTTACCCGAGAAATAAATGATGTAACACGCGGAAAGATCCGGATTGTCCGAAGGTCGAGAAATATCTGCGTGCTAGTGTGACTTAGAGACATAAGGACTTACCTCTGTTGTCGACACCCTTCTAACTTGTTAATATATTGTTAAATAAAAATGCCGAGAGGAAGCAGAAGCCGAACGTCCAGGATGTCCCCTCCAGCCAGGTAACCTTTAATGTTTGCTGCCATTTGTTGAAAACCGTAGTTGATGCTTTGAGGCTAGCGAACATGCTAGCAACTTTAGGTAACGTTACAATAATGTAACTAGCGTTATGCTAAATAGATTGTGGCGGAAATTGCTGAAGAGTAACTGCTAGAACTAATTTATAATGACTGTGTTTGTACATCGAACTGTCTCTTGCAATTTTACCAGGAAATGTGTTTTAATTAATATTCAGTGATAGTATAGATTAAAGTCACATTGTTTAATATGCATCGTCTCTTAACTTTGTCTGTTACAGCTTTTAAAACGGTAGATATATGAAATTATCGTTACAGACAACTCGTTTCACCTAACTTTACAACTAAACAGTCTTTCCCCAGGCTTTGTTTTTGCTAAGCACCACAGAATTTATTAATATATCAGTATATATTTGAGATTTTGTTTAGTTTGAAATCATGATAAAACAATCGTTTTCCTTGTTCTAAATATTTCATTGAAATTGAGTGGGCACAGGATTGTGCTATTTCTTGTCAGATCTTTATTGCTAAACAGGTTTGATATTGATCTATTTCACCCATTTGTATATTAGATCATGCATTACACGAATGCTTTGGACTTGAGATGCTAAGTCCAACATACTGTATTTTTTTCAGCAGCACTACATTTAATGCCAAACTATCCACAGAAATTCTCCTAATAATGAATTTATGTAATCCTCTATAATACTGCCACCTAGTGCTTTTACACAGTTCTTATAGCGCTCATACTTATTGTTTTTTTTTCCACATTGCACAGCACTTTAAATTTAAATATGTTTATTTGAGTGCTGATAATCTTGATGTTTACAATAAACAGGGTCAGAAAGTTAGAATACACACACATTTGGAAAATCTGATACCACCATATACAAGTAGTTTAAGTTGGAACAAATGTTTTCTTTTTCAGCCGGGCATCGCCACCACCTATGGCCAGGGCTGCACCCCCTACCTCCCATGCCCCAGTTCCAGTGCAGGCCCCTCCATCTGCTGTGGGTGCTCCAGCTGCAGCACCCAGGCAGCCAGGTATGTTTGCTCAAATGGCAACTACAGCCGCTGGAGTGGCAGTGGGCTCTGCAGTGGGACACACCATTGGCCACGCCATGACTGGAGGCTTCAGTGGAGGAAACTCAGAGCCTGCCAGACCTGAAGTCACATACCAGGTAAATAAACTGCAGCCAGTCAGTGGACTGAATTAGCATCAGGGCTAATTAGTGTATCTGACCCATGGTGGGTAGGTGAACATCTAACAGAAACATTTTGACACTAATCTGGTATATAGAGTCATTTTTTATCTGTGTTACAAATGTAGAAGAAAAACAAATGATTGTTTATACAGACTGAACTGTTTTGGACTGTTTCTCATCAGTTACATGAACTTGTTCTTACATTCCTTAATGCACAGTAAATGTGTGATTAATCTCATCATCTGCCCTGCCTCTCAGGAGCCGTACCAGGCCCAGCCCATGTACCAGCAGGGGGGCTCTCAGCAGCAGCAGGCCTGCTCCTATGAGCTCAAACAGTTCATCGAATGTGCCCAAAACCAGAGCGACCTTAAACTCTGTGAGGGCTTCAGCGAGGTGCTGAAACAATGCAGGTTTGCTAATGGTGAGTGAAAAGTGTGTGGAAACGTGTCTCGCTGTTGGTATGAAATTAGATAATTCAAGGATAACTTGTATATGACAGTGTAAACCTGGACCACATGTAAACCAATCATGATAAATGTTTTGTTTGTTTGTTTTTTACTTGCCGCATTGCTGTCTGCTTTACCTTTTGTATTTGATTTAACACTGACAAATAAGGAGGTTTTGCACGAGCACTTGGTCATCCAGACGTCATAGCCAAATGACCTTGCACTGTCATGGTTCTTTTGTAACGTGTTGCAGTGCCGCGTGTGACCACAAGGAGGAGTAGCATCTTGTCGAATACTTCATATAACTTGTACTGTAAATAAATTAAACTATTGGATGTATGAACACTTGTCTAATTAAACCTTTTCTTTCCAGGTCTGTCATGAGGCAACGACAAAAGCCTGCCGAGCACACTCGGACTGCACTAAGCATTCTGGATACTAAGAGGCTGTGATTCAAAAGATTCAATAAACATGCTTTATTTTGACAGTTATCACCAGACAACATCATTGTTTTTATTTCTTCAGAGCTTGTAATCATAGCGTTATAAATTGTGTTTAAATATTTGGTGATGCATGTGTAATAGCCCTGCATGGGGAGTATTTATGTGAAAGCTGCACAGACACAAACTTTCCTCAGCTCCATGTGCCCTTTCACAAAGTTTAACAGCCTTAGTCTCCCCCCCCTTTCTGGAATCTTCTGTTAACTAAAATCAGTTTCTAGATCTCCAGTGTTCACAGTTTGTTAGTAACAGATGTAGGTTTAACAATATGTAGGTTTAACAATAATAAAGCAACTTGGATCATAAATGCACCGTTTTGTGTGATTTATTTCACTGTCTACCAAGAGGACGCACGTTGAGCTGTTTAAGAAACATTTGTTTTCACAAGCAGTTTGCATGACGTCCAACGACAACACCGGGGCCCAGCACCTGTCATGTCACTCGAACCTCATTCCTAAACCGCGGATCGAGCGTCGCATGTGAAGTATGGTATAGGGCTGTCCAGTCTCTGTGACTGTCTCCTGGTGAGAGCAGGAGCTGCAGGGTGTTATTTCTTGGAGCTGGATGTTGTGCGGGCATGCGTTCAGTCTGCTGCTGCGGAAGCACCGATTTATTTTTGGCCCCTGACATGAGAGCTCACCCTTCGCAATGGCAGGAGCGAACCCACAGAGGTGCGGCAGCACCACCGTGTGACTGGACCTCTGGTCGTTAAGCACACGGAGCAGGTCTACAAAATAATGAAGGATTCACAACAAGGACTGGCCGGTACGGGATACGGTGAGAAACCGAGCAGTTTTACTTTAATGTATTGCTTTGTTGGAGCACACTAAAGGTCAAATAGTGACAGAGGATGAGAGGAGGATCCAGTTTACACACCGTGGCAGATTATTATCTGGGTATGTCGGTTATCATGTTACTCAGAAGCAAACTATTAGTCTAGGACCAGAACACACATTGTTTGCACATTAGAGTCCATTACAAGCAACGTGAGTGAAACATAATGACTTTATTAAAACATTAATTTTACAGAACCTGTAAAAGTACTGTGCTTTTCAACGTATAGTCCCTCTCCACTGAAACCCTCTTGGGCTTTAATTTAAGAATAAGGTGAAATGTGCATGGAATAGGCTGCTTTTAAAATGTCCCTCAGTCATCTCCTTTGTCCACTGTTTTCTGTTTGATCAGGCCTTTTAGCTGGACAGAGGAGTCTGCTGTCTGATATGGAAATATACTCCACATTACAGTTTAGTCTGAATGACATAGCATATTCACAGCATTAGCTGTAGTGCTGCCACTATGAGAATGGTTACAGAATAAAAAAAACATTAATGTAACATTGGTCTAAACTACTACAGTATTGTACTTACTTGCAATTTTTTGGGTACTTTTCTGCTCCTTTATACTTCTACTCAGTTACACTTGGTTGTAAGAATTTATTTATTGTTACACATTAATATAACTAACCTTGAGCAGTGAGGGCTGACTTGAAAAGGGATGTTCATGAAGGATCCTTGCACAACCTGGCTGAACTTGAGCAGTTTTGCTAAGTAGAATGGAATAAAATTGCAGTGTCCAGATGTGCAAACCTGACTGAAACTTGTCCATACAGACTCTACTGTTGCAGCCAAAGGTGCATCTACTAAATACTGAATTGAAGGGGGTTAATATTTAGGCAGTCACTTATTTCCCATTACATATTTTTTATTTAATTGACATTACTTTGTTGTAACCTGTTTTCACTTTGACATTAGAGTTTTTTTGTAATTACTTTTGTCAAAAAAGCCAAATTATATTGACCACTATTGACTTATAAAATGATTAAAAGGGTAAAACATCCAAGGTGGTGAATATTTTTTATAGCCACTGTACTTCTGTTAATGGTACTTTCCCCAAAACTGTTGCTGTCAGCAGCCTGTTGTGAGCTCTGAGAGCAGAACAGCCCTGTACTTCTGGTGGTGAACCGGCATCGCTCCATCATGACCAAAGACGAGGAGATCCCTGACTGGGTGGGAGCTCAGGAGTTCTACGACAAGTATGAGACCAAGGAGATTCTGGGGAGGTATGTTCATCAAGCACACATCTTATCTAGCAGGGGTTCCCAACCTGGAGCTGTAAACTAAATCTGAGGAGTCATGAGATCCTGCCAATCTTTTTTTTTTTTCATTTACAGTTACTGGGGGCAATTATAGTTTTTGAGATACTAAAATTACTCTCAGGAGAATAACATTTTCTTTGAATTCCTCACAACCAGTAGACATTTGTAACTTTTGATCAGAGGGTTAGCTGAGCTTAGCAAGACTGGAAATACTGGGGTGGGGCCCAGCTAGCCCGACTGTCTGAAGGTGACAAAATCCACCCACCAGTGCCTCTAAAGCTCATTAACTAACAATAACTGTTTAATTCATACAAAGACCGAAGTTTTCTGAGCATCAGAGCCAGGCTCGCTGTTTCCAGGATTTGTGCTAAGCTAAGCTAGCTGTTACTTCATATTTAAAAAAAACTGATATGAAAGTGATATCACTCTTCTCATCTAACTCCCAGCAAGAAAGCAATTGAGCATATTTCCCCAAAATGTCAAGCTACAGCACTCCTCTAAGGAATTGGAAGGCAAAAAGGTTGTGAATCACTAATTCCCAATGTATGTTGTCTCTGGTTACAACAGTTAAAGAAAACACACATTGAAAAAATATTAATCAAGAAATCAAAAGCTTTTTTCTAGTTTCTCAAATTTCATTCAACACCACAATGAGATATAACACAGCTCAACATGTCGGCAATGTTTATTTGATTCAGACCTCAGTTTAAAACAACTGTCACTGCTGGTGTGGTTTCCCTGAAGTATCCCAGGACTCTCTGAGAAATGTCAGCAGTGTCAGAGCCTGCTCATTGTCATTCACCACCATCTGCCAGATGGTGGTGCCCTTATGTAAGCCACACTGTTTGTGTTCATTCACTTCAACGTGTCTTGGACAAAGGTTGACTGTTGAGAGCTGCCCGGCACTGGTCAACATGCTGATGGGTTGCGTAATTCCACTCCCTTTCTCACATACAGGATGTGGATTGTTTTGACCTGATGGTAATGCTCAGTCTGCTTCACACATGGGAAGAAAAGTCAGTTCAGCGTCTCTATACTGGTCATGTATCAGCTGTACTGTATATACATGAGAAAAGATGAACAATCACACTGGTGAGGTTATGGTTCAACTGAGTTTATGTTTAGACTGTTTTCTAGGAAGTTAGACTTAGTGGTAAGACCCTTTTAAAGCCAGTGGTGTGTGTGTGAATAACTAATCAGTCACCCTGGAGGACACATTCTTCACTGTTTATACTCGCTATGATCAGATGCTATAGAAAAGAGCAGGTCTGAGTGTAGTAAGGGAAAAAAAGAGGGGGGGGGGGGGGCAAATTCATGTTGTTATTGCAATTCCTGACTAAAGTACCAAATTTTATTTTATTTTTTTCTTTGAGGCCACCTGTCCAAACATAAGCCTCTGGAGAAAGACGTCCACTGACAAGGCTGGTGTGTTTGTTTCTTCCCCAGGGGTGTGAGCAGCGTGGTGCGTCGCTGCGTCAATAAGCGGACGTCTCAGGAGTACGCTGTGAAGATCATCGACATCACCCCGTCAGACAAGATGACCCCTCAGGAGATCCAGGAGATCAGAGAGGCGACGATCAAGGAGATCGACATCCTCAAGAAAGTCTGCGGACAGGACAACATCAGTAATTTGAATTGAAACTGTACATCCGCAGCTTGATTGAGATATTCATCTTAATTTTATTGGAAAGCCTTTAGATTAGGATAATGGTCTTTGAAATCTCACAGCCCCTCATGTAAAGAAAAGATGGTTGGCCTTTGCAGGTGATCCACCTATCACCTGGATTTCATTCCTCTTTGTTTTGTGTTTCTTGATTAAACACTGAAGGTATCTCAAATATCTTATTCCTCTCCAGTACAGCTCAAAGACTGCTATGAGTCCAAAGCCTTCTTCTTCCTGGTTTTTGACCTGTAAGTTTGAAATGTCAAATTTTTGTCTGTAAAACAGCAAATGGTGGATGTTCAGCAGTTTTACTGTCTTTCCGCCAGGATGAAAAGGGGTGAACTTTTTGACTACCTCACAGAGAAGGTCACTCTGAGTGAGAAAGAAACCAGGTCAGTGAGAGTGCTATTGCACTTTTTGACTTTTTAGCCAGGCCAAACAACATTAAGAGTTTGCTGTGTGTTGGTTTTAGGAAGATCATGCGCGCTCTGCTGGAGGTGGTCCAGTATCTCCACACCCAGGACATCGTCCACAGGGACCTGAAGCCTGAGAACATCCTCTTGGATGACGAGATGAACATCAAACTCACCGACTTTGGCTTTGCTGTGCAAATCCAGACGGGGCAGAAGCTCAAAGGTTGTGTGGAAACCCAGCAACAAAAAATTTTAGTACATTTAAGGTCATCTCAGAAAGACAGGTTTATACAGTCCAAAAGTAGCCCGAAACACTCACAGAAAGTCCTACCCTAGCACATTCAGCTGAGAGTCTTTAATCTCCTACTCTGTTGAAGTTGCTATGTTTACAACCCACAGTGTACTTTTCAGTACACCACCTGCTGATGGTCTCGTTGCACAACATGTTCCCCTCTCTCTTAGCTGCTCTTACAAAGGTTACGATGCAACACGACACCAGATGTGTGTACTGTAGTCTCACACCGTCGAAGTACACACTGACCTTTCAAATAGACTTCTCAGAACGCAGCAGCTCACAGCGCCTTGCATCATCATATCATTTTGTTTAGCTGGTAAACATACATGTATGAGTACTTTCATATCAACAGTAACCATGCAACACAAAACCTGAAATTTGACATCAAAATTCACCAGTGAGGTGACACTGTCAGTACCTTTTCTCATATGTAGGTAAATGATGCTATAGACAGATTTCACTGAAGATGTGGAAAGTTGAATTCTGTGTTTAAGTAGGTTGAGCGTGTTGCTTTTCTTACCGTTATTTGATTTAGTAATTTACTGAACTAATTTTGCTTGTATAATAATGATCTTTTTATGCCTTTATAGAACCCGGGTTTGTTGTGAAGACAGTCCCCAGTTCAGAGAGCATTAGTGTTATGGAGATGAAATGTTTGCATATTGGATTTCCCTTGTAAAGCACTTTGTAATCTCTGGTTCTGACAACTGCTCTATAAATAAAACATCAGTAGCATTAGGATGTTTATGGTCAGCACGACATTAGTGCTTTTACATGCGTTTGCAATTAAGTAAGTGCTCCTTGAATTAATCTTCTGTAGAGCCACTAATGTACTTTCATTTGAATACTTATCAATATATCTCATTTGTATTCTAGTATTGGATCATGTGAATTTCCAGTAAAACATTTTGGCAAACTTTGTAAATGTGGGTTTGAAAGATCATCGAAAAACAAGTCTTCCCAACAAGCATGTTCTATTCCAGTAAAGTCTACTGTAATAGATAAATGAAATGAAATGTCTGTTTTGACATGTCTGTGATGTAGAGGTGTGTGGGACCCCTGGTTACCTCGCTCCTGAGATCATCGAGTGCTCCATGGACGCAGGACATGTAGGATATGGCCCTGCAGTCGACATGTGAGTGTCCAGAGACTAAAATCACACAACACAGCAGAAAGTCATCTGAACATCATCTACATATATCCATTGGGCTTTATATAAGCAATATTGACAGCTGTTGCACAGACTCTTAATCAACTAATAAACAATGGCAAAGAATCTGCGCTAATGTCACAGTTACATTCAGTTTCCTATATGCAGTCTTATACATACATGCTCATGAGTAGTATACATGCGGCCCATGTAATATCAATATTTCAGGCTATTGGATAATGCACGTACACACTGTAAACAGAGGTTATAAGCCTGCTTGTCCTCTGGCTTGTGTTTGCAGATGGAGTTCAGGGGTGATCATGTACACACTGCTTGCAGGCTCTCCACCCTTCTGGCACAGGAAACAGATGCTGATGCTGCGTATGATCTTGGCCGGGAACTACGAGTTCTCATCTCCTGAATGGGAAGACCGCTCAGACACGGTCAAAGATTTGGTAGGCATTTTTTTAGCATCTACCTTTAATGGTTTGGTTATGTTTTATGAGAACGCAATCAAAGGGTGGAAGGCAGTTGGTCCCCTCACAATATGAACTAAGCTGACAATTAGTGACAGTAAAAACTGGCTTCTTCAGATCTCTCGAATGCTGGTGGTGGACCCAAAGAAGCGCTACACAGCTACAGATGCTCTCAACCACTCCTTCTTTTCCCAGTATGTGGTGGCTGAAGTACGACAGTTCAGTCCATACAGGCGTTTCAAGGTGAGATGTAAATGATTTTGGGCAACTTGGTTTGATAGACTCCCATCTTGGAGCATGCAGGTTTGGTTCTCTGGCTTGGCTGTGGTAACAGTTTGAGAGCTGACACTCTAATCTTTAAACACGCTAACAGGAAATAACAAAGCTAAATATATCAATTTAATTATTTAATATTTCATTTTTAGATACCCCTTTTTTAAATCTTTGAGGCATTTTTTTGTCTTTTGCATAATTTTCATTTTTTGTCATGAATCCTATAATTACATACTGTGATGCTTCATATTTTATTAATTTTGAAATAAATTTACAAAGTATTGACTTTTATTTATATAATTAAGAAATTTACTAGGCCTATTTATTGGTTTATAATAATATAAATTATAAATATTTATTATTTTTTTACTGAGAAAGACATATCAATCCCAAAAAAATTTGTGGCAGTTTGAAAAAATGATCATCTGTAATCTAAACAATGTGAAGCTAAGGAACCAAAACGTGACAAACTAAAAATAAAAATCACCCTAACAACTACCAGAGATTCTGATACAAATTTTACTTTCACTGTACTGTTTTCCCAGTTTTGACATACAAACACCAACCAGCGACCTTTACTGACCTCTCTCCCTCAGGTCATTTGTATTACTGTGCTCGCCACAATGAGGATCTACTGCAGCTACCGCCGTGTCAAGCCTGTCACCAAGGATGTGATCAAAAGTGACCCGTATGCCATCAAGCCCATCCGGAAGCTCATTGACGCATGTGCGTTCAAGATCTACGGCCACTGGGTCAAGAAGGGCCAAACCCAGAATAGAGCGGCACTTTTCGAGAACACTCCCAAGGCCATCTTGCTGTCGATAGCTGCTGAAGCCTATGAGCCGGTCCACCACATCTGGTAACAAGCGCTTGTTCCTCAGGGCACATCTGCTGGAGCTTAGCAGGGATATGGTTCTAATGTGTGGCTTTTAACTTTTTCCCTTCCTGTAAGAGAACTGAACTGGTAAAACATAACTGACTGCTACCAGACAAAGTACATTTAAGTGTTAATACCAACATATTTTGCTCATGAATTTTAAAAGCAGTTTTGATCACTATAGTGCTTTTGTTTACCTCAAGAACTGCAAGTGTGGCAAACAAATCTGCAACAATACCACTCTGGTGTGTTCATTTGTTTACTTGTCAGAAAGGTAGAAAATGACTTAAAGAACAGATTTCCTAGTTTTAAAAATCCATCAAAAACATATTTACTGTGAAAACAAGCTTACTTCAGTTGATGGAAAATGTTATTTAAGAGACCGTGTCTAACAGTGTGCAACAATATGTCAAAAGTGGACACAGGGATTCCACCCTCTCTCTTTTACTGTATGATACACAAACTGATTCCAGTGTGCTACTCACAATTAGAATACAGGTTTCAGTTTTAAATGATCGTACCCATAGATTCAAAGAATTTCTGGTAAGGAACATTCTTCTTTTGCTTACATACATTTTTGTCACAACTATGAAGCTGAGCACCCAAAGCAAAACTCTGTGGACCTAATTTGCACACATTTCTAACTGGAATATGAAACGGTGAACTTGCATACTTAAAATGGCACTGATCATTTGCACTGCATTTGTACTGGCAACAGCTTCAAAGACATTTTAAGCAGGGTAGCAAATGTGCTATTTATTTATTAAAATGTTCATTTCATTAAAATTTGAGGACTGTTGGAATGGTGATGCTTTTCATTTTTAACTTCTCTGAGGTGTCTTTTACCAACATCTTTAAGCCAGATGTCAAAATTAAATACACAACACCAATTTTCAACAATTACAAGTTTATTATAACAGAACAGTGAGGTACATTCACACCCACAGCATCAATCATCTGAGGGTGCTGAGTATGGGCTTCTGGCACAAGATGCGTTTTTCCATTACCGACCTACGGGTGGAAAAGCAAAGAGCAAAACATGAGTAACATCACATTGTGTGCCAACAGTTATTCTGACTTTTCATATTCTTACCATGACAGAGGGTAGGGAGTGAGTTGACAAATTTTTCTCAGTCCTGCTCCTGAAATGGTCACTGGTTGCTCTGCAGAATTTACCAAATAGAAGAGAAATTAATCCAAAACCAACAGGAGCTCTGGCAGACTAAGCATCCTCAGTTTACAGGTGTATCATTGTACTCATATCTACACAGCTGGATGAGGCTCAAGACAGAACTCATCCAGTCACTTAGGAGAAATGAGAGAAGAATGTTGCATGGTGTCTGACTGTATCCACCACAGACCTGTTGGTACAGAATTCGGCCATGCCTTACAGGTTTTAAACAGGAATAATAACCATGTTGCATGTCACTGTGTAATAGTGGGTGTACAAATATACCGTCCACAGGCCGTTCGTCACCACCTGGAGGTCAGCATTGCAGCATGACTGAGCATGTGTTACAGCACTTCTCCACAGATATTTCAACTCATGCTGAAATAAAAAACATTAGAGGCTATGACATGAATATAGATGCTGACATGTTATTGAGCTACTGCACTCAAACAAAAACCTAACCAACAGCACAGAGCAAAAGGTGAACAACAATCCATTTACTATTTGAACAAATATATTCAGGCTAGAAACACAATAAGAAAAAGCAGGTCAATTTTATGTTGCAATGTTCAGTGAACTACGTTTGGCTAGATAAATCAGGCTGGTGAGTGCCAGTCACTGGCGTGGGAACATGATGCTGTCCAAAAAAAAAAAAGGTAAAGACCAGTATGAGCTAAAGAGATCTGTGGTCAGAGATCATGTCCATACACACTGTTTAACTTGACAAGGGCCTCACACACTTTCCCAGTGTTTCATGTACAGTACCCTCTTCAATGAGAAACATCCATGATATGATACACTGAACATGTGCTCCGCCTCACCTCTACCACATGGTGAGTGTGTTTCAGGATGGAAGCTCTTCCCTGATGAGTAGTTCGGGGGTCCGGACATCTGTAAAGTCACGTTGCGCTTTGATCACAAACCTAAAGTGCAAAAACATTTAACACAGTTGTGAGCATAGTTCTTCCTATATACACATGCTGGGTGATTCTCTAAATTTTACAACAGGACATTTTATTAAGGAGCAATTTAAGAAAGACTTGGCACATTGGAGCATTGGACTTTCCCTGAAATGAGTGTGGTCTAGCATCTTGCATCAACTTAAACAAAGGCTTGATGTTTTTATAGAAGAAATTGAAATATAATATCAATCCAACAACATGTCCCGGCATTTACGAGGTTATTAACCAGCGGCCTGACATACTATTATACAGACAGAGCCATCAGTTAAGTTACTAATTTACAAAAAAATCCACATTCTGGAAGACCTCTAATGTAACCACATGCTCTCCGTGCTAAAGAAGCTAAGCTATGCATTAGCGGCGTGCATATCCAAAAGTTAATCAAAGACCTTTAAGGTGCTGGTTAAACTAATATGTCAGTTGAACTCACATTTTCCTTGCTTATTCCTTTCTTGGACTTAAGTATAGTTTCACTGCAAACCGGGACTATAAGGCGACATCTTATAAACTATACGTTCCTCACCACCATCTTCAGCAACGCTTAAACCTTTCTTTCCCTCGTTGGTGTCATCGTTTGTCTGCTTCTTCTTCGGCGATCAATTTATGGTATTTGCAAACACCTTCAAGCCCATTACCTCCACCGCCTGGAAAGGAATGTAGCTGACTCCATTTGACCATTTTTAATCTGCTATAAATGTGTCTTCATTAAACTTTGTCGATCTTAACATTTTCTTAAATAATTTTATGTTGCATTTTACACATTTGATGACATCTTGGAAATTGATGTCAATAATAAAGGAGCTGCCCATGCTTTATGGCTATTTCATTAGCCTGTTCCATAAGCCTTTTGCATGTCTATTGGGAAGAACTTCACTTTCACCACTGGCTGTAAACACCACATTCACTGGTTATAATGCAACTAACAGTCTGGAAACTACACAGCAGAATGTACAACAAGGGACACCACTAACAATACAAGAGCTCATATCACCCATTTTCCCAGTGCATGCTGGGAGGTTTCCCAATACATTATCCTCATGTAGCCTACTGGCAATGTACTGTATGATCAGCACACAGAAAATCATAGGGTGCTAGCGTCTGCTTTAATAAGCGTAATTCTATGTCTATACAGTTACTGTATGGTTGATAAAAAGGAACCCCACACTCCACTGTAGTTAGCATAAATTAGCCTTAAATTCACAGCTACCGTTTTCACGATCCCGGGCTAACGGGCAGTGGGCGGTCCCTCACCGGCGTATCCTTGATTGGTCCGGAGCTCAGCACTGCTCTTCATCTTTGGTGAGGTCGGCTAATACAGAAGCTGTTGTATGTGCCTTACCAACGCTGCCCCCCCCCCACACCAGTAAGTACCAGATGACAACTAGTATATTTTAACTTGTTTGTTCTGAAGATATTAGCTCGGTGTTGCTGCCCGAGCACTTTGTCACGCTCGACATTAGTCGAACAGAGGGTGTATGAGGCGTTCATGTCGAGCCGGCTGCACCGGACAGGTAACTTCCAGTGAAGCCCCGATAACAGTTCTTTGTAATGCAGCGTTGAAGCCCTGACATTCTAGTGCCAGTCTTTTGCACTACATCCGTGTGCTGCCACCGCCTTCCGTATTCACGTTTGCTCCGCATTTTGCTTGCTAGTCCTTGCTTTTTGTCCTGTTACGGTCCTCTGTGTTGTGAGCCTGCGGGTGATGCAATAGGGGCAGTCAGAGGATGTCCCTGACGGACCGTGTATGGTTTGTATAGGCAAACTACTTCATCTCACGTAGTCTGTCACACATCACCGGGTTGATGTGAGCTGAAGATTTTGACCCTGAAAAAAACTTTTTTAAGAACTCTGAAAATAACTGCAAGTATTACACGGATGAGCAGTTTAACAGCAATGTCAAGACTGAAAATAATTTATCACTAATTCACTTTAATAGCAGAAGTTTATACGCAAACTTTCAGAGTATAAAACACTATCTTAGTAGTCTAAAACATTATTTTAATATAATTGCTATTACTGAAACTTGGATTACCACTGTAAGGGGAATGGATTTTGACCTTGAGGGCTATGACTTGGTATGCACAAACAGAGAGAATAAGATG